CACTACACCAGGTTGCTCAAAGCCCCATCCAACCTGGCCTTGAACACTTCCAGGGATGGGACAGCCACAGCTTCTCTGGGCAACCTGGTCCAGTGCCTCACCACCCTCAGAGGGAAGAATTTCTTCCTTAGATCTCATAGAAATCTCTCTTCTTTCAGTTCAAAGCCATTGCCCCTTGTCCTGTCACTACACGCCCTTGTCAAAAGTCCCTCTTCAGCTTTCTTGTAGGCCTTTTAGGTCCTGGAAGGCTGCTGGAAGTTCTCCCTGGAGCCTTCTCTTCTCCAAGCTGAACAACCACAACTCAGCCTGTCTTCACAGAGAGGTGCTCCAGCCTTTGGATCATCTTTGTGGCCTTCTCTGGACCTGCTCCAACAGCTCCATGTCCTTCTGATGTTGGGGATCCAGAGCTGAACACAGAACTGCAGGGGGGTCTCACGAGAGCAGAGCAGAGGGGCAGAATTCCTTCCCTCGACCTGCTGCCCATGCTGCTTTGGATGCAGCCCAGGACACGGTTGGCTTTCTGGGCTGCCAGCGCACATTGCCAACTCATGTTGAGCTTCTCCTCAGCCAGCACCCCCAAGTCCTTTTCCTCAGGGCTGCTCTCAATCCATTCTCCGCCCAGCCTGTACTTGTGCTTGGGATTGCCCTGACCCGTGTGCAGGACCTTGCACTTGGCCTTGTTGAACTTCATGAGGTTCTCTCAGGCCCACCTCTCAAGCCTGTCGAGGTCCCTCTGGATGGCATCCCTTCCCTCCAGCGTGTCCACAACACCACACAGCTTGGTGTCATCTGCAAACTTGCTGAGGGTGCACTTGATCCCACTGCCCATGTCACCGACAAAGATGTTAAATAGCACTGGCCCCAGTACTGACCCCTGAGGAACACCAGTCGTCACTGGCCTCCACTTGGACATTGAACCGTTGACCACAACTCTTTGAGTGCGACCATCCAGCCAATTCCTTATCCACCAAGTGATCCATCCATCAAATCCATGTCTCTCCAATTTAGAGACAAAGATTTCACGCGGGACAGTGTCAAGTGCTTTGGACAAGTCCAGGTAGATGTCAGTTGCTCTTCCCTTATCCTCCAACGCTGTAATCTCATTGTAAAAGGCCACCAAATTTGTGCACCCTGGGATTTGAGCTAAGATGTGGCAAGATGCCCGAGCAGCAATTTAGTCTCGCTGCCCTATGCCGTGGGAGAAGGAGCTGCAGCGTGCAGAGCTGTCATGCCTGAGAAGTCTGTCAAATTGGCATTTGGGAAGAAGCTCTGGTAATTATTGAGCTTCTGATTTCCCAAGAGCTTTTTTTTTTTGTGTGTGTGTGTATGTGTGCAATTAGGTCTATCAGGCAGCAACGTTGTGTTATAATGTTAACAAGAGTTTCTCAGTGTGGGGTTCCATCAGTTGAAAGGACTAAATAGCACTCGGGAGTGAGAGAAACGAGTTGGCTGGAGAGCCCAGCAACTAACCCATTTCTTCTCCTCCCACTCTTCTTTTTGGGATCTGTGGAAGTCAGCAGCCTTTTTCCCCAGGGCTGCTTATTGCCCTTAAATACAGTACTGAAGTCTCTCTTAGCAAAACCACAGATTGGGTTTTTACTTTGCTTTATTTTGAAGTCCTAATAACAATGTGTTACAACCTCAGGCTCTATCGAGTTGATGAGGAATAAAGTCTTAATAATGAAGAAGAATCTGAGAGTGTGTCTAAGTGCTTGCTTTATCGCCAGCACATATTTCATACTGACAGTGCATACTTTTAAATGATCCCAAGCCACATGTGTTGCATTTTAAATCCCTCCCTAGCCTGCTCTGGTCTTTCCCGAGCAGTCTTTTCCAAGCTAGTGGCAGAGTTAGTTGGTCAGCTTCAGGTTTCTGAGCGTACAGAATTTTTTTTTGATTCACAGCCCACGTTTTTAGGTCAGGACGATAAAGTTTGTCCTGTGTCAACTGAATGGAAGGACCAGAGGAGCCACTGGAAGGATTAGGTGGCAGAACAGCTGCAGAGGATCATGTGTGGGGCGATGGATTTAGCTTTTCAAGGACCCCAGTTGCCATTTTAGGGAGTTCAGTTTGCCATTTCATCACACTTTAGGGCTCATAAATGGGCAAAGCAACTACAAAGGAACAAGATTTGGATGCATTCTCAGCTGATAACCTTTTGGACTGCGTTCACTGCCTGTGGGGCTGCAGTTTTCTCTGACCAGTCCAAAGCAGCACATCCACACCCTGCTTCATTCTTTCTTCACCGTGTTTATGATCCCATTTCTATGTCATCTCAGCACCTTGAAGGGTTTGACCACATTTACTGCATGGCACCTTCAAGCAAAAAACCAGCAGCTTTGTTTTCCCACTTACGCCTTAAAGTTAAGCTGGTTTTTAGACTCACTGGTGTTCCAGCAAGCGTACGCTTTGGGTTTCCCCTTGGGAAAAGGGTTAGTAGGGCAGCTCCCATCTCTTGGCCAGCTGTTTGCAGAAAACTAGTAGGAATTGTAGGATCTTCACAGACCATACAACACCAGGTTCACATAGCAGAGACTGGCCGACTGGTGCGTGTACACGAACAGTGACAGTGTGAGCTTCATTTCCTGGGGAGAGTTTAAAAAAGAGGAGAAAAATAAAGAAAAATAGACCTTAAAAGCTTCTTTTTATTATTTATTTTTGCCTTCAGCCACCTGGCTTGTACACTGCTGCCTGCTAAAACCCTTCTGTTGTGCAGTGGCGATCCCAGAGGCACCACGCAAGTGTTCTGCTATTGCCAGTGCTCCGTGTGCTTGACTGAGAGCTCCGAGCAGAAGCACTGGGGATTTATATTCATCACCAACTTCTCTCCCAGCCTGAGCAAATGCAAGTTGGTGTACAGAGAATAGTATTAAAATGTCCTGCCAGCAGAGCCAAAGCCTCCCCCATCTGCCCGCAGCGACTGTGCTGCCAAGGTCTGAGAAAGCTGATTTAGCCTTTTCCTGACTTTTTAGCCCTTTCATTCTCCTGGATTTCTGAGATTTAGACCAGTGCTGTTTGCCAGACAATGTTATGAATTTTAAATCTGTCTTAATTTTAAGCGTCCTCACTGTTGTGCAACTCCCAGTTGCAGATCAGGTTGGGGGGCATTCCCATTTAATCGTGGGATATTAAGTTACCGACAACAAATGCCCTTGTAACAAAATAGGCCTAATAATTGTGCTTTATTCCTCCACTTGTTTCCCCTTTCATTGTGATTTTTCCTGGTTAAAATCAAATCTTCCCTTTATTTTTTCTGACATGCGCTTGTGTACTACGCTGAAAATTATTCCTGACTTCTCTCTGCTTCTTTAAGGTGAACCGCTGTTTTGCTTTGGCCCGTTTCCAGATCTCAGTTTTAGCTGAGATTTGCTTCCCTGGCTTCTTTCTGCTAATTCTTGATGAGTAGATGAGAGGAGTATTAAATAGATTTAGTGAAAAATGACTGTCACCAGTGTAGATGACTTTCCTCTAATTAAAAATTGAAGCGGAAATGAATAAGCTTCTCTTGAGGCTGTGTGAGAGTCGATGCTGCTTAACACTAGATTCATCAGTGATGGAGGGAAGTCCAGTGTATGAAAGAATATCCCAGAAACATACGTACCTTGGAGGATGCTAATAAAAGGGAAGGGGGAGTTTCTAGTGGCATTGTATTCATCTGGCCTAGATTTAAATCTGTTGACAGAGACCAAAGACTCGGAGCTGAATTTGCTACCTCCTTGATTTTTATGCCTATGCTAGGTGGGCGTTCAGTGCCATGGCAGAGCTTTTGAAGCAGAAGGGCATGTCTAAGCATGCTAGTACCACCTGAGTGGTGCAGTACCCAAAGGATTCTGAATTCGACATCTTTCCTTTGATGTACAGTGTAGACTTTTCCAGTTTTGACAAGAAATTCTCTCTCGTACGCAGCCAGCTAGCGGAGGTAATTGTAACCAACATGAGTACGTTCCCTTTAAACTTTCTCTTGCAATGAATGAAAATTTTCCAGCAGGAAATGAGAGCAAAACACTTCATCTAAAAATTCCTCATCAGCTCTAGTCACTAGACCAGAACAATAGTGATTACACTCAGTTATGCAGTACAAATTCACAGCGCTGCTGTGTCCCAGGATCACAATGTGCCATTAAAAGGTGAGTAGAGAGAGCAGGTGTACATTAATATCTCTGTTTTGTACATGAGAAGACAAGGCCTTGCAGATGTTGAGTAGCTTCTGCAAAGTTATACGGCAAGACAGTGGCAGAGGCAGAAATAGGAAGCTAGATCCAGAGACGGTGATTTTTCGGATCTGGCCACTGGAGCATGCAACCCTAATGAAAAGCAGAGTGCCTGGAGAAAGCCATGTGTCCGCATCTAATGAATCCCAGCACTTTCTCAGGTTTACTGGTATTAACCCTGGAGGTGTTAGACATGTACAAAGGTTGTTCTTTTGCAGAGAGGACAGTTGCTTTTTAAAACTAGCAATATCTTAGGTCATAAGGGGTTGTTTTATTTGCCTTGTCTGAATATATGATTGTTCTCTTGTAGGAATGGCAGAGCATCAGCCGCGCAGCAGCGATGAGAGAGACTGACATTCGTATGAGTCTCTTCTGGCTCCTTCTCCACAATGGCTGGTGCCTCTGAATATTCATTGGATGTTAATGCAGGATGTTGAGAGCAGCGGTAGAGTTTGGCTTGGTCCCATTGTGTTTTTCTTCTGCCGATTGAGACTTTGAATCACTATGACAACGCTGTGACTCTTCCAGCAACGGTTTCCTGCAGACCAAGGGTGGGCTGGGGGGTGGGTGAGAAGGTCAATGATTGAGTCTAAAGGGATCAAAAGTTGCGCCTGCAGCAAAACGACTGTAGAGAAGCCATCAACGCAACAAGAAGATGAAATTCCCCTTCTATTGGCTTCTTGTTAAGCAGGCACAGTGACGTGTTTTTTTTGAGAGACTCGCTGTAAAAACTCTTTTGGTTATGGCTACTGATCCAACGTGATTGGGTGCGCAGTGATTTTTGAACTCATGACTGGATATACGATGTTGCGGAATGGGGGAGTGGGGAATGGAGGCCAGCCGTGGATGTTGAGATGGTCCAATCGGATCCGGCTCACCTGGCTTAGTTTCACCCTCTTCATTATCCTCGTCTTCTTTCCCCTCATTGCCCACTACTACCTAACCACCATCGACGACGCAGACGATGCCGGCAAGCGCATCTTTGGCCCTCGGACCGGCAACGAACTGTGCGAGGTAAAGCATGTGCAAGACCTGTGCCGCATCCGCGAGTCAGTCAGCGAGGAGCTGCTCCAGCTGGAGGCCAAGCGGCAGGAGCTCAACAGTGAGATCGCCAAGCTCAACTTGAAGATCGAGGCCTGCAAAAAGAGCATTGAAAATGCCAAGCAGGACCTGCTGCAGCTGAAGAACGTCATCAGCCAGACTGAGCATTCCTACAAAGAGCTTATGGCTCAGAACCAGCCCAAGCTCTCCTTGCCCATCCGGCTGCTGCCAGACAAAGACGATGCGACCTTCCCCCTGCCAAAATCCAATCGGAACTGCAGGCTACACAACTGCTTTGACTACTCGCGCTGCCCATTGACATCTGGCTTTCCAGTCTATGTCTACAACAGTGACGATTACCCTTTTGGTAGTTCCTTAGACCCTTTAATTAAACAAGCCTTTGAGGCAACTGTCAGAACTAACGTTTATGTTACTGAAAATGCAAATATTGCTTGTGTGTATATAATTTTAGTGGGGGAAATGCAAGAGCCTGTAATGCCAAAACCTACTGAACTAGAGCAACAGTTGCACTCTTTGCCATATTGGAGGACTGATGGACACAACCATCTCATCATCAATTTATCAAGGAAATCAGAAACTCAGAACTTCATTTACAATATCAGCACGGGGCGTGCCATGATTGCCCAGTCCACCTTTTACGATGTGCAGTATCGACCGGGGTTTGATATTGTGGTATCACCTCTGGTCCATGCAATGTCTGAACCCAACTTCCTAGAAATCCCGCCCCAGGTGCCAGTCAAGCGTAAATATCTGTTTAGTTTCCAGGGGGAGAAGATCGAGTCTCTCAGATCGAGCTTGCAAGAGGTTCGCTCTTTCGAAGAGGAAATAGAAGGCAATGCCCCAGCTGACTACGACGATCGGATCATCACCACCTTGAAGGCTGTTCAGGACAGCAAGTTGGACTTTGTTTTGGTGGAGTTCACGTGTAAGAACCAGCCTAAGGCAAGTCTGCCCACTGAGTGGGCTCTGTGTGGAGAAAGGGATGACAGACTAGAGCTACTGAAGCTATCTACTTTTGCACTGATAATCACCCCAGGGGACACCCATTTAGTGATCTCCGCCGGGTGTGCCATGAGACTGTTTGAGGCTCTGGAAGTTGGAGCCATCCCAGTGGTTCTCGGAGAGCAAGTTCAGCTACCCTATAATGATGTGATCCGGTGGAACGAGGCAGCCTTAATCATACCAAAGCCACGTATCACAGAAGTGCACTTTCTTCTGAGAAGCATTTCTGACAACGATCTCCTTGCCATGAGGAGGCAGGGCCGCTTCTTGTGGGAGACTTACTTCTCCACCTCTGACAACGTGTTCAGCACAGTCTTAGCTATCATAAGGACTCGAATCCAAATCCCGGCTGCTCCTATCCGAGAAGAAACTGCTGTGGAGATTCCCCACCGGTCTGGCAAAGCTGCTGGTACAGACCCCAATATGGCAGACAACGGTGACCTGGACTTGGGGCCTGTGGAAACAGAACCACCCTATGCATCTCCCAAGTATCTCCGCAATTTCACCCTCACTGCAATGGACATCTACAGGAATTGGAATTCGGCTCCGGGGCCTTTCCACCTCTTCCCCTACACTCCCTTTGACCCTGTTTTACCATCAGAAGCAAAATTTTTGGGGTCTGGGACTGGATTTCGACCAATTGGTGGAGGAGCAGGTGGCTCTGGCAAGGAGTTCCAGGCTGCTTTGGGTGGCAACGTCCCCCGGGAGCAGTTCACAGTAGTGATGTTGACTTACGAGCGGGAGGAAGTGTTGATGAACTCCCTAGAAAGGCTCAATGGTCTCCCGTACTTAAATAAAGTTGTGGTAGTGTGGAACTCTCCCAAGCTTCCTTCTGAGGATCTCTTGTGGCCAGACATTGGCGTCCCAATCGTGGTAAGAAAGATGTAACTACTACGGTCTCGCTTCCTGGTGGGGTTTTGCATTAAAGTTTGGCTGTAGCTCTTCTGTAGCATGTCAGCTCAGCTTAAGTCATCTAGGACGGCATTCATCTCATGTGGTTGTAGATGTCTGTACCTGAGCTGGACACTTTATCAGCAGAGAAAACCAGGGAGGTTACAGGTGTGATTCATCTGACCCATTTTAGGTGTTTGCATGAGAATGCTGTGACTGGTGCTCTAGAAACACCTGATTCTCTCCATCGGTTTTGAAGAGAGGCTGATGTTTAGAGGCGGACGGCTGTGCTCTCTGGTTATGTGAACTTAGATGAGATGAACTGCTGTCATGAGAGAATTCGTTTGGTGACCTTTGGGTTGTGAAATACAGGAGCTGTTACGGAGGAGAGCCTAAATTATAAAAACATGGGACCTTCAGAGGTGTCAGGTGTTTAGCACTCAGGAAACAATTATTGCTTCTATGGAGCCCTCATATGAATCTTGAGGCTTAAAGCTAGAGATTCTTGTTTATTGAAAATCTTACAGAATCGTAGAATCATAGAATGATTTGGGCTGGAAGGGACCTCAAAGATCATCTAGTTCCAACCCATGGCAGGGACACCTTCCTCTACATCAAGGTATCTTGCTTATGCTCTTAAGTGTTGCACTGCGAGGACAGTTGACACCTTATAAGTACCTAACTAGTGACTGCTTCTGCACTTTACCAGATAAATCTTTTATAGAAACAAAAGAGGGACCTGCTGAAGCTGTGCCTACTGCCCAGGCCTCAAAAATAGTTTATCACTTTATATTACAAGGAGTGGCAGAAAAGGAAGTAGAAGCCAAGGCCAGCATGACCGTAAGACCTTCCAAAGGTTGAGCAATTGAGTTTTGCTTAGGTTTGGGTTGATTGGGTTTTTTCCCCAGCCAAACTGCAGAAGCGACACCTTCAAAGACCAACGTTCATTTTCATGCCTGGCTGCTCACTTGTGTATTGACAGTGTTGCTTCTAAAGTGTTAATTCTCCCTAAATTATTGCTTATTTATGTATTTTAGAACTTCTTTGTCATCCCAGCATAACTTTCTGCACTAGGCATTGTCACCAGTCAATATTAAATAGAAATCCCCACGTGCTTTCCTAAAGAGAGCACAAGTACAGAGCCACTAACAAGAAGCAACAATGTGTTATCTGAATCTGGTCGTGCTCAGAGGACAAATGAAAGGATAATGCCTTACAAATTAGGGAAGGGAAAAATAAAAGAGGGAGATGGTACTTAAGTACGCAAACTGCGTGTGGTTTATGTGACAGGACGCTACGAAGCTTAATAGCAATGTTGAGCTTTATGCTTCATGCAAAGAGATTCATTGATTTAATATTTCGTTTTATTATTATTGTGATGAATAAATCCGTCTGCTCACATTTAAAAACCCTTATGGTCCAGGGACAATGAGGAGAGAAAATTGCTTGGATAATTGCAAAATAATCTTTCACATTAGTCCTGTTGAATGCCTGAATTCTGCAAAATCTTTGCATTGTGTCTGCTGAAAATCTGTGTACTCCTTCAGAGCTGGAAGAGTGGGGATTGTTCTCCTTGGAGTTGCTAATGGGTGTTATTTGGGAAAGAAAAATATGTTTCTATTGATGGAAGTTAATGCCTTTTTTTACTCTGCTCTCATCTGCACATCTATTGTGTTGGAGGCCCACTGGCTCCTTTTTGGGGGACTTTGACATGCACGAGTTGCTGTGTGTCACCTTCAAGCCACGTGCTGGAGTTTGTATGGTGGGGAGGATGTTCTGTACCAGTTCAAGAGGAGGAAGTTGTCTCCTACCTGCTTTGGGATTGTGGATGGTAACACTGTGCTCATGGCCAAGTGGCAGCAAACGACTGGAGCACAGTGAGCTTCTTCCAGGGTCCTTTCCGAAGGAGCGTGTTGGTCTGATACTAAGTATGCTTTCTTCCCATTTTCTTAAATCCCATTTTTTAAAAGAGCCCAAGTCTTCTGACATCTCTCATGAGAGGCTTAACCCATTGCAGCCTCAGGGCAACCATCCCACAAAAGTGCTCGTTGCTAAGTCCACATCCAGAATGGGTGTTTAAATCACATTGGGAGTCTGTAGTATTCATCTGTATGGGTGGTTTAGTGCGGTAATGATAGAAAAACTTACCTGGGCTTCATCAAACAGCAACAGATCCTAAGACACGCTGTGGAAAAGGGCAACAAGAACTTGGGGAGTAGAGATGAAGCTCCATTTGAGCCTCGGTGGCTGAAACGTGAGATGTGGTAGCCAGGGGAAGAGGCAGGTGGATATGTGAGGTTGGCAAGAAACCCAAGCCCTTACAACTGCTGATGTGGAAAGAAACTGCAGAGCTGTGAATCTGATTTCCTTTCGGGGGAAAAAAGTGTCTTTTGATGGGGAATATCCAATTCTGTCAGATCTTGAAGCAGTGCTGTATCTCTGTATAACAAATACGTTCCCAGTAACATCGGGGTGCAAGGAACGGCCCTGCGTTCAAGTCCC